GGTAATAGGTTAAAAGCAACGAGCCTACCTTTTACCCTACATTTTACCCTTACCCCATACAAATTACCCGATTACAGGGTAATTACTGGGGTACTACTACACATGAACAAGGTTTATAACAGGTAATACTCTCGATTATTCCAATTTTCTACGCTTGTTGATGTTGTTGTTGTTGTCGTTGTCGTCGTCGTATCCTACAATCTTGTAACTCAATTTTAACCCACTTCCTAATGTGGTATTGACTATCGACTGCAAACTTGGTATACTTATGTCATACTGATGACAATAGAGATGGAATTTATACATAAATGTAAGAGATTAGCATGTCAATGTGAGACGGCTCCAGCAACCAGGGGCTGTGCCAATGAGAAGATTAGCATGTCAATAACAGAGAACCGGGAAACAAGAACAAAGCATGTCAGGAATCACATCCTTTACAAATGGGATCAAATCATGGATTTTGTGTACTGTGTTGGTTTAAGATTTGGGAAATATTTTTGGTAACCCCTGCTATGTATGGCAAGGTGACGGTTTTGATTCGGTCCTCAGATGGTTGTCTCCCCTGGCTGGAGAGACAGCTTTGCGGATTCTGCGGTCAGAATATCCATTCATCCTAAGGGCTTGGTGTACGTGCTCCAGCTCGCTGGCTAGGTGGTGCTGGTCAGAGATGCAACGGGCCCTATGGTGTAGTGTTTTGATGAGGGAATTCTTCTGGGTTGGATGGTGGTGGGAATCAGGCTTTAGATAGACATTTGTGTGGGTGGCTTTCATGTAGACAGAGTGTCCCAATGAGCCATCAGGTCTCTTCTTGATCAAAACATCTAGGAGTGGTAATTTGCCATCCTTTTCCACTTCCATGGTGAATTTGATGGCTGGGTGTATGGAATTTGATGTGGTTGAAGAATTGGTTTAGTGCTGGCTGGCCATGTGGCCAGATGACGAACGTGTCATCTACGTATCTATTCCACAATGAAGGACATAGGGTGGATGTCTGGATGGCATGTGTCTCAAATTTATCCATGAAAACATTCACTACCACTGGCGATAAGGGAGAATCCATTGGGGTACCTTCCTCTTGTTTGTAGAATGTACCATTCCAGGTTAAGTAAGTGTTGGTAAGGCAGTGCCTCACCAATTTTGGCACATCAGAATTCAGTCCCTGTTGGACCAAATCTTCAATGATTGCAATGGTGTCAGGCACAGGTACCTTGGTGAACAAAGAGACTACATCTAAACTGACAAGCAAATCATCTGGAGACAGTGAGATGTCTTTGATTAGAGAAACCAAGTGAGCTGAGTTAAGTACAGCTAAGGTGGTCTTGCCAGTGAATGGAAGCAGGGTCTCAGACAGAAATCGTGCCAGTCTGTAGGTGGGTGAGTTAATGGTGGAGACGATGGGACAGAGCGGTGTACCTTCTTTATGGATGTTTGGAAGGCCATACAATCTGGGTGGTCTAGCAGCAGAAGGTTTTAGAGAGAGCAGCTTGGTTGGTTCGATTAGAGAAGTCGAGTTAGTGATGATATTGTTGGTTTTCAAAACCAAGGGGGTTGGTAGGATCTCTATTGATTTTGGTATAGCTACCATCCTTAAGAAGGTCCTGAATGTTGTTGTTGTATGTGGTTTAATCCATGATGACAGAGGATGACAATATTATATCTCTTTTTTAATTGAGCAAGTTTAAAACACTCGTCCTTGCTGATGTTGCTAACGGGTTTCTTATCGTTTTTGAGGATAGCAGCGATTTCAGATCTTGCTACGTCTGCCGGGATGTGTGCTAAGCCTTTGAGGGCTACATCGACTTGGGCAATGATATCATCCACTGGGATGTGTTTAGGAGTGACTGCGAAATTCAACCCTTTAGCTAATACCGATTTTAGGCTGTCGGAAATTGGACTGTTACTCTGATTGATAACAATCTTGTTAACATCTAACTTTTTAATGTGTGGATCTGGCTTCTTCTTAGACAGGAAGTTGAATTTAGCAATCAGGTTAACTTTACATTTGGTTGACATTGAAGCGGCAGAATAAACTATAATGTTATCTACATGGTCCCAATCAGATGTGGACATAAGGTAACTCTGAAACTCTGCAAACATTTATATTGAAAACATACTTCTTTACTGCATCTGCCAGAACTTTATTGACCATCAGGTGGGTGTCACATCAACTGGAAATGCATTTATAAAATAACAAATATTTGAAATAATGCATCATCTTCTGTTTATTGTAAAATGTTCATCACCACAAATGTATGACTCTTTACGACAGCTAACTCACGGAACAATAAGAGCAGTTGAAGACTCACATGCCACCTGTCCAGAACTCAAATGTGTGAAAAACTTTCTTTAACATCGACTGGCATAACGAAATATCAGCTATTACATGCCTGGGGATATGAACTAACTATTTCAGAATCCCCCTTTAGACAAGAACCAACATTCATTGCCAATATATATTAATACTTGCAGTTTTCCAGGGGAAAGGTTTTAAATGTAACTACTGGCTCCCTGTAAACTATGTTAATCAAATCGATTATTGATCTTTACAACCTCTCATACCTAGCCAATGCTCCATAATACAACTATTATTATTTGTTGTCATGAATTTTAATATTGTCTTTCTCTCACCGCTGTGCTGCAATTTTATGACATTTCGATGTTGCTGGCACATTCAGTGATGGTGCAATACACACGAGCTATGGCTGGAGTTGTATGCATGCTGACAATGCCAAGTGAAATATGTGGTGTGCCGGCCTTCCACCGAAACAGTCGAAACAACTGCTGTGCTCTACTTTCTTCAGCTGTATGTACGTGTATGTATGTAGAACTTTTTCACACCGTACGTAGCCGGACCGTGCTCATCGAAGGTGTGGTCATGCAAAATCAATACTTTTACAAAAATACTATTTGAGTTTTTGCCAACCATGCTAAACATCACAACACGCATGGGGAGATAACACGTTTCCGGCATGAATCCTCGAGGGTCAGTTGTGCTACCCTGTATCCCCTTGCAGCTCTATCAATCCAAGCAGAAAGGCCCCAGTGTAGCATATATGACACCTTCAATTTAAAATAATGATATTCCTTTCAATATACATTATGGTGCATGATGAGTGTGGAACAGTTCCGCAGATGTTAGCGCACTGCACTATGAACCGAGCGTCCTGAGTTTGATAACTATCAAGGGTATCATCAGTGATAAGTGCTATCTGTACTGGTATTGGGATCCCACTTCTCTTACCAATCCACACCAATCAGCATGGTGTTCTCAAACATCAGTCATAATGCATTAGTATTGTGAATGCCAGTTTCCATTTGAACCAGCTACAATATGTATGCAGTGTACAAGTGGAGAAGGTAAACCAGGGGGGGGGGGTGACCAATGCAGTTAGAGAAACCCTTTTTCACTGAATGTACGAGGTGCATTACATAACCATAGTGAAGTGTCTGAGGGTCACTGAAACAGGAACCAAGGCCACATGGTGGCTAAGCACTAAGCAGGCGTACAGACAAGAGAGAGTATCTGATTAATGGTCCTAGAGCTCCTGTAGATTGCCCCAGGACTTACCAGGGATGTGCATTTTTGAATTAGCAAATATTTCTCAATGCATTCGACGGTGTGATAAAAGTGTCTGTTACATGTACATCGGCTCAGAAGAGTGGACACGTACTTCGGATCAGACACCTAATGTATACGAGGCTGCCACAAAATTATACATATATATGACATCCACAAATATAGAATTATCATTACGTATTTAAATTAAGTGTTAGAATACATTATTTTGGTATAGCAGAAACATGTGTGAGAGCCGTTATTGATCAAGTATGAGTACTTTTAGTAAATTTGAGAAGTAGTGAATGGGATTGAAAGGTTATGAACCTTACACATAAACTGCAAATTTGAACATCTTTTAAAAAACATCTTTAATTGACCCTTTGCTCATGATTCTTATTAGGGGTATCTGGTATATGCCGTAACTGCCAAGATCATGTTATGAAACCCTGAAATGGCAGAATTTTAATCATGGCATAACAAATTACTGAAAGTTGCTTAATTGGGGTCACATTGATTGCTTTGTGGAGATGAAAATAAGGTCCCATGCTGAAAAGTGGCATGTTTTTTTAGCAGCAGAAATTTTCCTACTGTATATTATGCCTGCTACAAATTTCCCTAACCTATAATGAAAACAAAAATGTTGCACACATTTAGAAAATATTTCTTTAGAGCTGCTTTTTGTGTTTATTGTCCCTCTTCCACACCTCTGATTAGCACGGTTTGCTACGTACGGTGAAAAAGAAGTTCAACATACATACATACAACCAAGCACGTGCACATTAGGCTGCAATGCACAGCTTTGTGATTCTGAACCAGCTCTCGATCCTCTTTAGGTCAACTCAGTGGAGTGTGTAAACATCAGGACTGGCGAGACAATGGTGGCTGTGTATGCTACTGCCCATAACACCCCCTAGTGTAGGCCTTAATGGTGCCCTCTAACAGCACTTGCCCCAACAGTCTATATGGCAATGTGGTGGGGGGGCTTTAACTTTGAAGAATATTTTGCTCACACATATTGCCAATTTTTACAGAAGCCCTCCATACGATATGTATTTTATTTGATCAAGATGTCCTTATCGGTGCTGAATAATATGGCTGGACATTACTGAACACGTTTATTGTGCAAAGTAAATAAACAATACGTTACAAAACAGCAATTATTGTTTAATTAAATTGTAGGGGCGTTTAAAAAATATTTTTAAGAATTACAATGCTTATTAAGCGAGTTATATTTTGACATTTTCATTATATTTTGACATAAATTTGATTTACTTAAATGCAATCAGGAATAGCCATCATTCATCTCTGTAATTCTCATAAGCTTATAATTACCACCTCCTGCCTAGCACCGATAATGAAAAACCTATTTCGCAAACATGCAGCTGCATGAGTGGTTACCACCTACATAAAATAAGCAGTGCTCATAATTGGAACATGTGTGATTTTTACTAAGGGACATTCATAATTACGGAACAATATTTTTTAACAGCCATGCAAATTCATATAAGCAAGCCTGCTAATTATATAACCACCAAGGAAACACCAACCTTCTTTTAATTGCCAGCTTGAATGGTAAGTCGTTCATTAATATTTGCTGTCTGTTTCAGAATCAATATATCTGTCCTTGGGACATTCACATATGGTTTATATGTAACGAATTCAGACTTGTGTAGCTTCTACTATAGATTCTTGCTCATTTTGTGATCAATTTTCTTTTCCTGTCTTAAAACCAACTAGCAATGATGTTTCGAGTACCCTATGGTCTTCAATTGGCTGTCGTATTTTATTTTAACAGATTTGTGCTAACGATTTCATAAGCAATTTGTTATTAGCAAAATACTGTTAAAGCAAATAAGTCCTTTAATGCGTCATATAGTTTGGTAGTTTTTTAGTCATGTTTCACACCATGGTTAATTTATTTGTTTTATTAATGTGTTAATTCTTTCACCGTGTGAAATTGTAGAATATGGCACTTATTAAAACAATGATGTAAAATTGGTATGCTACACAGTTCACATCCTGCATTAAAAGTGGACTCCAACTGGCTTTGAAAAAACCCTAAGAGTGAATAGACACTCCTCATCCTATTAAAAACTGCATTTATTTTACAGGAGGTGAAGGTCAAATCAGACTAAGTTTGTCCATATTTACACTTCCTTTCATGGAGAGTGCAAATGATGAAACTTTTAACGCAGATATCGTATACATAACAGCGCATTTGTTGATGTATTTTGCAAGTGCACACATACACATCGTATACGATTGCACTTTCAACAATGCTAATTGATTTTAAAAAGTACCAATGTTTTTTTTTTACAAACCAAAGTGGTTTTATTTTGTATAAATTAAGGTATCAAAATAACCGCATTCATATTGGTTACATTTTCACTTGATTTCAGGTCACCATTTGAGCTCGTAAAGAGACAATCATGGGTACGAAACAACAGAATATGACTAAATGAATGCAGGAGAACTATTCCCATATGCGGAAATATGGGGGACCAATACTGTGATCCAATGTTCCACGCGGTTATACGCAATTCTATTCCTCTTACCTGCATGGTAAAATCATCGATTACCACAAATAGGATTAATTTGCCGTGTGACTCCTGTTATTCACAAAACCGTGTGGTTTCAAAGGATGCCATTCCAAATACCTACAGGAAAAAGTTGTGGACAATGGGAAAAATATGGCCAGGGATAATAGGGTTTTCGCAGACCCTGTAGTGTCCATAGATAATCGTAAGCATGTATAATAAGGCCGCAGAGAAGAGGAGATCTCTATTTTTTATCCGAGCGCATCAGTGACCCATTTTTTGTGTAATGCAACTGGATCCTCTAAATACAATAGCGAGCTAGTGCAACTTTAGATTCTTTTTCATATCAGTTACTTTTTTAAAAGTTTTTTTATGGCTATATCTTCAATAAAACTATTTATCGATAGCATTGGCTCTGAATTTGTTTCCATCCTTACTAGAGAGGGGTTTATGAAAATGTTAATGCAATAATAAACCACAGAATTACAAAGGTGGGTATAACTATAAGCCAGAGAAGATTAATTTTTAAAATGGGACCGTAACCAAACTCAGCAAGGTTGTCTACACGCATATTCTATGGTTCTTTCGGTAAAGTCACGTAGATAGAAAAATAGTAACAATTAAATAATAAATTTTAAATAAAGTTACTAAAAATGTATTATTATTATTATTGTCTACATAGATTTTAGTGCAAGCTGCCGCCAGCAAACGCATAGCTCATGTGAAGTGATTAATACAATGTGAGCAAAATCTGTGAACAGGGAGTCAAGGAATCCTGATGTTACCAGCATAGCTCTTTCACGTATGACTGACAGACCATTCAGAGTAAATTCATTAAGTTCTTGCTGGATCATAGCAAAGACACCAACCTGCAATCAATCACTTGCCTTGCAAATTTCTCAGGTGCACCCACAGAGCTCTTGGAGCACTCACAGTGCCCGCCATGCATGGCGGACCATGTACATTTTCAATGTTGCTGCTTCCGCCACTGTTAAAATAATTTCTTCACGAAGGCATGCAGTTGACAATAGAAATACCCATTTCTTCCTTTGTACATTTACAACATTGATGTTCATGTGAGCTGAAATATTATACGAGGTGATATGTGGCTTTTCATTCCGTGAATGGATGGAAAGCATTTTTGATGGATACTCAGTGGGGAAAAAGTGAATATATTTACTGAGGGGAACCAAATGTTATCACGGGAGAGCCAAGGGCCGCATGTGACGAGATACATCCATCATTTTATTCAGTCTTAAAATGCACCAAGGACTAAAAAAAAAACGAAATACAATTCAGCAGTACAGAATATGAGGCATTGGTGCTTCCCTGCAATTGTTCATTTTCACAACTGCTGGCAGATGTTCCACCACTAGAAGGCGCTCTAGAGAGCCCATCAAATCATTTGGCCAACTCTTGCGCGCAGGCCATATGTTCTCGGAAATGGTGCTAGTACCCACACTTCATCCCACAGCACATGACCTGCCAATCGAGCATTAACATATACATGTGAACATTAATTTGCTTGGCCGTGTCAGGTGGTGGACAGTTCTTAATGACGCAGAACCTAATACACATGTATGAATCAATATATATAATTGGTTCTGTGTATATAATTTTACAATAGAATACAGTGCTAATAATTAATGTAGTTTGCAATATTTAGGAGCTGTACATTACTAGATAAGTAACAATAAAACCAAGATAATGTTTTTCAGTTGTTACGGCAAATTAAAATCTTAATATTTCAGCCAACAGGCCTTAAAAATAAATAATTTACTCTTGCTCCCAGTGACTGACTATAATACCTGTTTTATTTATTAAAACTATTATTTATTGTGGAAGATCACTTAAGCAGCAACAATTTAATTCCAATACTTTTGCTCCCATGATGCGCAGTGATGACACACAACGTGCAGAACGCTGATTAAGAATATATAATAATGTAGACCTGTGATCCAATGGTTTTGTACTCCAAATTTAAATAATTGTAAATATTTTAACCCGAAACATGTTTGTATTTTTTACACTATTTGAAGGACCGTAAATTTGGACAGACATTCAATGAAACATGGTCTCTGAACAATAAACATCAATTAAGAGCTACGTAATATATATGTAGTGTAATAGCGCCGGCTGGTGACCAGCAGCGGCAACTGTGGTGGACAAACAGTGCACACGCCGGTGAGCATATACACAGGTGTGTCGGCAGGGCGGAGGAACTGGGGCAAGGGTCATGGAGGGCCCTATTTGGAAGCCCCTTGAACCTGCGAGTGGGTTTGAGAAGGGAGGCACGGTTAGAGTGGAGCCAGGCCGCACTGGAAGCATAAATGGGGCTGAGAGCGGGAGCTCAAGGCTGCTGGTTCTGGGATTGGATCATCTCGTCGTTGCTGTCGTCTCGTCGCCATCGTCGCTGCCGTCTTCGCTCGGTATTGCGCTGCTAGATAGTTGTGGGCCGTCTAAATGCCATCTTTAGAGCTCCGCTCCAGTGGATGCCATTCTGCCAGCAATTGCAGAATTGAACCTTTGCATGCTTGCTCCACATTCAATTCACCATTTAAAAAGCTCGTGTTTTCTTAATGGGGTCTCTGCTGATAAAATAGTCAATCAATGTACTATATTGTCAAATACACACTTTGAAAAATCATGAACAAGAATGTGTCTTCACAAACACATGCCAATTCAGGAAAATTAATATTGTGTTTCTTATGTTTCCAAATACCAGCACGGATGTCTTAATTTATTTCCTATTAAGGTATAAATTGACCACATATGTCTATTTTTGCCAGCTTATGTTTATTCGGTAATAGGCCATTGATTCCATTTAGTGTAGCATTGCCTGTGGTCTATGAGAATCAATGCAATGTTGAAATAACCTATTTGTATAAGTGCGTTTACCAAAGTATCATTTAATATTGAACATATGCAGGAAGAAAAAGACAAAAAAACACACACAAAATATATATATGGAATATATATGGACAGGGACGGTGGGAGAGGGAACTATAATGGGAAGAGTGGAAAAACAAATGGTGTAATCTCAGAAGGAAGCCACAGAACTCTGACTCGATGTATTGATTGTTCATTTGTCTGGCCTTTGGGTCTAACTTAAATTACCACTGTGTGATTGTTGATGCGCATATGACAGAGGTCATGCAGTGCTCAAATCAATAAGCAGCTAAGTGGCCCCTACGTCACTGAAAAGTCCACTTCAACAAATCATTCTTTCGTAATTCGCTGCATTTCCCCCAAAATTACTTTTTGTAACATCATGATTAATTATCTCTCTTAAATCCATAACCACGGAGCACTAAAAATGTGCAATGCGAGGATCAGAATTATACCTATAAGAAGCATGCATCAACTGTCCCTACATTGCAAAAAGAAAGGGCAAATAGTCCATACAATGAATACATTTACAAGAATAATGTAATAATTAAGTGTTTTTACATATGTCCTACTTTAGACTGAAGCAAAATATGCTCGATGGTACAAGTGAGGCAAAATAAGGAAATACATATTGTAAGTACAGTAGCTGGGGCAATGACATGACCCGGCAGCAGCCAGGAGGCAGAGGTTCGTGGTTTGCACCTGGTGGGTGGCCCTGGTTAATACTGCATGAACAATAACCAAGAAATACACGCCGTCCGCTTCACTTTGAACGTCAAAGATCCCGTGATGTAATTCAAAAAAGAGTACGCTATTGTTGGCCAGCAATCATGGTCCATATTTGCAAAACTGGATACATTGCTGGCAAGTTGTTTAATTGGGAAAGAAATGGCCATCATCGCTCCCTACTGTGAAATATTTGCAGGACCCTGCTGTAAAAGATCATCAATATTCAGTGAGGCTTTCCTAGGTAGACAAGTGTAATAAAACGTGCAATAAAATAACTCTACATTTGATTTCTCTACAAATCGAATTTAACCTGACAACACCTTTTATGAATCTTGCCATTGTGTCAAAAGATCTAACATGGAATTCTGAAAGTGCATTGAAATCACTGGATTTCCATTGCTTACAGTTGCCTTCTAA